GGGTACACTGGTGGTGCATAGCCCTTACTTCTGGTTCTCAGAACTGTGTGATGCTGGGGGTTAAACCCAGGCCTCCCACATACCAAACCTGCACCCCAGCCTGCAGAGGGCTCCCCCATCAAGTCATGCAGATTAAACGTGTGGCAAACCCTTCCACATGGGGGCTTCCTCCCTCTGGGTCTTCCTTGCCTCTCTAGGATGTCCACCCTCTGAGGAGCTGGGTGCTGAGGAGGGGGGCAGTGGCAAAATGGGGTTCAGGGGGACACAGGGCCAGTGACCTTTTTGTGGGGGCTTTTTTTGGGTCACATCTGGCAATGCACAAGGGTTTCTCCTGGCTTTGTACTCAGGAAGCACCCTATCAGCGGTGCTCAGGGGACCATATGGGATGCTGGGGATCGAACCCGGGTTGGCCGCATGCAAGGCAAATGCCCTACCCCCTGTACTATTGCTCCAGCCCTGCCAGTGGCCTCTGAGTTGTGCCACCTTGCATGGTGGTCACCCTCCTCCTGCCAGCCCCCCACATCTGGGTAACACTGCCCAGGGCAAAGAAAGGACTTCCCATAGCCTGTTTGTTCCCTGGGACAATGACAGGCTGGAATGGGTGAGACACAGGGGGCTTTGACACAGGCTTAGCCAACCAACGACGACAACGACTTGAAACAGAGCAAAACTGGGGCTAAACTCGAATGCTTGGTTTCCTGCCAGACAGAAGGAAGGCTGGGCTTTAAGATGGCTTGGTGGCAAGGCACGCTCCCCGTGGCTGGTCTCAAAGCACTGTCCCCACTCCCCAGGAGCTGGGCTAGGAGACTCCAGGCTCAACTCCGGGAGGAGTTTGAAACACGCTGAACCCACGTGGTCCCCGTCACTCGTGGACCCGGCTCCCCGGCCCTATCTACAGAGCCTGAGACTTTAGCGTTTCCTCCCAGACACCCATGACACGCTTTGGAAGGGAAACCGGGTCTGAGTAATGCCAAAGTAATGCCTCGAGTGTGTCGTGTCCTAACCTTGGATAGAAGGAAGACGAGACTGGCAGGTGGGACTCCCCAGGACCCACGAAGACGCACTCACGGAAGACGGAGCTCCGGGAGCAGGAGTTCCGACTCCCGGCTGCTTTTCACGGTCTATGTAAACGGCCGGAAAACTGATGGTTGTCACCTGGGCCATTCCCATCTGAGCACACCACAAGCATCTGAGCATTGCCACCTTGGTGGGAGTTTGCAAGGAAAACCTGATCTTTCGGGTGGTCCGAGATGGACTTCCTGCCTCAGAGACTGAGGTCCTTGGAGGAGGTGGCTGGGCCGAAAGCCTGGGGACCTGAATGCCACCTGCTTGGCTGGCCCTGGCTGCTGCAGGAGTGGCTGGAAGGAAATCTGTTACTTTCTTCTCATCCCTGGGTTCCAGTTACAGTCCCCCAATCCCCTCACTACACACACACACACACACACACACACACACCCCAAAGAGGGCCATTAATCCCCAGGCAGCGAACAACAGAGATGGGCGTGGGAAAGAGACAAGAATTTGGAAAAAGTATAAATAAATGTTTCCAGTAAACCACATGCCCAGGGCCCCGCCCACGGCCCCCGCTCTCTGGTGAGTGTCTAGGGGAGCTGGTACCCGCTGCCCTGCAGTTAGGGGATGCTGTGTATCTTGCCCCCCCCCCCAGGGACAATTTCCCCAGCACACGGGTGGGGGGGTTGGGGGGGACTTATCACCAGAGCAGCTTCGGGCATGTGGATGAGGCCTGGAATTTGCCTCACAGGAGCAAGGTCTGGCTCCCACCCCAGGGCAAGGGACCAGTCAAAGTGCCTTAGCCACCACTTGCCTCTGAAACTCCCCTACAGGCATTTTGCGGGGGGGGGGGGGGGGGTTGGGGAGGGCAGAAAGGAGGAGGGTGAGATAATTCAAGGGGGGGTGACTGAGCTGCTCAGGATCTATTCCTGTTTCTGTGCTCGAGTGACCCCTGGGAAGGGCACTTGCTTTGCAAGGGTTTGATCCCCGGCATTCCATCCCTGAGCACCTCCAGGAATGATTCCTGAGTGCAGAGCCAGGAGTAAGCCCTGAGCATCGACAAGTATGACCCCCCCCACCCTCCCCCCAAAAAACGACTCCTTGGGGTTGCAGCCACAGTACAGCAGGGAGGGTGCTTGCCTTGCCTGTGGCCGACCTGGGTTCGATCCCCACCCCTTGGGGCCAGAGAGATGGTACAGCAGGTCAGGCATTTGCCTTGCATACAGCCAATCCGGGTTTGATTCCCAGGCCCCCACAGGGTCCCTACAGGAGTGATTTTTGAGTGCAGGACCAGGAGCAAACCCTGAGCACCTGCAGGTGTGGCCCAAACAAAACCCAAACTAAGCAAACGAGAAATGGTTCCTGGCGGCGTCTGGGGGAGCATCAGATGCAGTGCAGCGGGTTTGAACAGGGGTGGGTAGGATGCAAGACAAGCACTTTACCCCCGTCTTCTCTCTCTGACCCCTCCCCGCCCCCCCCCCCCCCGCCAGGCTTTCTGAAGGAGTGTCAAGTGATCACATAATTAAAACCACCACCATACAAAGAGAGACCAGAGACAGAGGAAAGCACTATAAAACCAGCCACTACACACAATTCTCACACTTCCTGCCTCTGGAGTCCCAGAATCAGATCTGCGATCAAAGTGACAAGTCTGTGGACTAGTGTCTGGTGACCCAGTGACCCTTTCAGTAAATGCCCTACGTATGGATTTCATCTTTGACCTGACATTCGGATGACTGCCCCCATTGCCCATTGTACACTCATCCACGTTGCTAGTATTTTCTAGGGCAGGTGACCACATCCATGCCATACATTTTTAGTCAACGAGGTGCTAAATAAAACGTAGAAATAAAAACGGTTAAGTACACAATGACATTTTAATAATGTGAACACAAAAACAACACAAACTTGTTCCAATCGGTGACACGATACTACAAACGTGATTTTGAGCATCTGCGAACCCATCAAATTTCTCCGCGGAAGCAGGAACAAGGCCATAAAAAAAAAGATTGAGTTCCTTTCCCCTGAGAGAGAACCGTTTCTCAGCACACACTCAGATGCACACAAAATGGAAATCAGAAATAAAGGGATATGTTGTTGTTTTTCTTTTTTTTTTTTTATAGATAACTTAGGCCGACACAAATCAAGCTACCCCACTGGTGTCTGACTGATGCGTGTTTGTTTTTTTTTATGATCCTCATTACATCTGTGTAAGGAAATGCCACTGATCTCACAATTCACAGCACCCACGTCTTCAAACCTGTGGGAAGAAGAAGGCCACGGGGCAGGCAGCCGCTGTCAGCATCCGCTATCCGGGCTTGTGTTTCTCCTCGAGTCTCTGTGCAGTTATCTGGGGACCAACAAACTCAATTTGTAAGTCTACAACTGTACCTCATGGTGTTTCACTAATAAAAATTAAAAAAAAAGAATAAACCGATTTAAAAGTTAAAAAAAAAAAACAAGCTCAGTGACTATCTCTGGAGGCCTGGTGGGCTCATGGGCACTCCCCTCTGTTTCATAGGGGGTGGGGAATCGGAAAGGGTGTTTGGGGTGGCAGATGTCAATGGGACACCTTAGTCAGGGTTCAGGTCCTAGCTGGGCCAAGCCCACTGTCTGTGGAACTTTTAAACTCAAGGCTGAAAATGAAGTTCCATTTGCTTTGCCTGGGGTCAGATCCAGTGGTGCTCTGGGGGCAACTCCTGGCTCTGTGCTCAGGGATCACTGCTGGGGATGCTCAGGGGAACCATATTGTTAAGGTCCGGGAAGGGAATTTCGTTTGCACATTGACCAGACCGGACGCGAGGCTACAAAGGCAAGGCCCCTTTATGGCTCGCTCGAGCTAGGGTCGGAGTCTCATCCAACGCGGTGGAGTCTTGACAAAGACCCTGACTCCGAATTCTGAACAGCTTATATAGGGTTTGGTTACATAACAGCGTGTTTCTAGGAACTGGCAATATGTTTCCAATTCTTGGTCCCTGTCCGTTCCTGTGCCTCCACTCCCTCCACTCGGCCCTTTCTGCTTGGCTGGGCAGCACTGTCAATGGCCCCTACTCTGATAGGCTGTTCCCATGGGGCGGCTTATCTGCCCAGGGTGATATTGTTTTCTGAGAAGTTGGGAATTTCTGATGGGGGAAACCGAGACTTAGGCCTGCTGAGTTTCAGTCTTAAAGTGGAGCCTGCCATGACTCCACTTCAGCCTCACATTGTGTGGTACCGGGGATGGAGCCACGGGGATGGCTGTGGGCAAGGCAAGTGTGTTCCCGCCTGCACGATCCATCGCTCTGGCCCAAGAGCTGTTTCATCTTTTTTTTGGGGGGGGAGGGGGAGGAGGATTTGGGCCACCCCCTGTGGTGCTCCGGGCTTACTCCTAGTTCTATGCTGAGAGCTCACTCCTGGTGCTGCTGGGGGGAACTCTAGGGGTCCAGCATCACAGAATCTGGGTGGGCAGCCCCCCCCCATGGTACTTTCTCTCTGTCCGCCCTTGTTCCATCTGTCTGTGCTAAAGGCGGCAGGGTCGCACCCCTGCAGGACACCGTTAAGAGGGGTAGGGCGGGTGCTGGGGACCCTGACGAGGGCCTCCTGCCTCTGACCTCCAAAAGGACACACATGCCAGGGGCACTGGTGGCCCAGGGAGGAATGCGACACCCTCGAGCTGTTTCCTCTGGGGTCTGCGTCCAGCCTCCAGTTGGTGGACGACAGCAGCTGCAACGGGAGACATAGCATCGCCTCACTGTCTTCCAGGAGGGACTGGGTGTGTCTCCTTCCAATCCTGGTTTGGGGCCTGCAGGGGAGGCCCAAGTTTCCCCTTTTGCTCAGACCATCCTGAGCACTGATTTCCAGGTGGGACTTGTCAGAGACTGATTTAAAAAAAAAAAAAAAGCACCCCCGCCCTCTCCCACCATTCCCTGCACACTGATCCTACATCTGAGTCTTCCCTAAAGCACCTGGCCGCTCGTCTCCGAGGGGGCAGCACATCTTGCCCGGGGGCCTTACCTTCTGCCCTGGTAGGTAGTCAGCTCCTCCTGCAGGATGGACGCTCTCTTCTGAAGGAAGTTCACCTGGAGGAGACACGTGGCGTGAGAAGAAGCTGATGTGGCCTTTGTGGTCATGTGGCTGCCGCAGCCTGGGCAGAGAGTGCTTCCGTTCAGCACCCCTGGGTCCATGGCAGGCCTCTCGGTGCCCCCGTCTTTTTTTTTTTTAATGTAGGAGTACTGCTATTTATTTAGCCACTGATTAGGCTGATTGAATTGTGCATGAACTTCACGCCCCCTTCCGTCTTTGACCCTTGACCCCCAGCATCCCTGCTGAACAGCCCCTTCAGCCAGAGAGACAAGTACAGCAGGTAGGGCACTTGCCTGGCACGCAGCCGACCGGGGTTTGAACCCCAGTGCCTCAGATGGTCCCTGAGCACCTCCAGGAGAGATCCCTGAGCAGTGCCAGGTGTGACCCGGAAGCCCAAAAAAAAAAAAAAAGTTCTGACTCCTCATTCCAGAGCCTTGGAAGTGAGGCGGGTCTCTCCATGTCCACCCCCACCCCTTTCATCCCTCCTATCCCCCTCTCCTTCCCACCCAACTGCCCTGTGGCACGGGCCCTTGCTTGGCCACCTGACTCCCACCTACCATTACCTCACCCCTGCAGAACTCTTCCACTGCTCCCCCTGCACCCTCAGCCAGCTGCCTGCCCCCCTTATCTCTATTCCTGGGCCCTGCTGGAAGTGCTCTGGGCCCTGCTGAAAGTGCTCCTTGCACCGCCTTTTGTGCTTCCTGTCTTGCCCTCCACTCTAAGTGCTCCCAGGCAGGGAGATGTTCACTGGCCACCGCTGCCTCTGTTCTCTCTCTGTGGAAGGATGCAGGGCATGGCTGCACCAGGGACGCCTGCCTTCTGGGGACCTTGGGCCACTGCGCGGTTAACTGGGTGGGGGGGTGCAGATACAGACTATGGTTGCTGTTGGTTATTTTTTTTTCTTTTTGGGTCACACCCAGCGATGCTCAGGGGTTACTCCTGGCTCTGCACTCAGGAATCACTCCTGGCGGTGCTTGGGGGACCATAGGAGATGCCCGGGATTGAACCCGGGTTGGCGGCATGCAAGGCAAATGCCCTACCTGCTGTGCTATTGCTCTGGACCCCAGATACAGACTATGACGGGCTTCTGCAGGGGGACTGACCCAGAGCTCGGGCTGGAGTCAGACTTATCTGGGTTCAAAGCTGGTCCAGGGTACCCAGAAGTCAGTCAGATGGGTGAGGCTGCATCTGGGGAGCAGGGGTGGGGGGTTGGGTGGGGGCGGCAACAGCTCCTCCTTGCCCAGGTTTGCAGGATGGTGGGATGTGACGGAAACTGCCTGGCGTGGTGTCCAGAGGCCAGGGTTCGGGGTGGGGGACCAGGCCCTCTCCTCGGGGATCTTTACAACTGGTTTTGATTGTTTTGCAAGCACAGATTTTTGAATCCTTTTCAAGTTTGTTTTGTTTGGGGCCACATCCGGAGATATGCAGGGTGTACTCCTGGCTCTGTGCTCAGAGAACACTCCTGGTGGGCTCAGGGGACCGTACGGGTTCCAGGGATCGAACCCATGTAGGCCAGGTGCAAGACAAGTGCCTTATCCACTGTAATCTCTCTCCAGTCTGATCTCTGTACTTGCTCTTTTTGTTTTTTTTTTCTTTTCGGGTCACACCTGGCGATGCTCAGGGCTTACTCCTGGCTCTGCACTCAGGAATTACTCCTGGTGGTGCTCGGGGGACCATATGGGATGCTGGGGATCGAGCCCGGGTTGGCTGCATGCAAGGCAAATGCCCTACCCCCTGTGCTATCGCTCCAGCCCCCAAATCTTCCTACTCTTAAAGATATCTGTATGTCAGGCAGAAAATCCCAAGTACCCACGACCAGGTGAAAACAGGTAGATGCGGTCTTCTTTTGCGAGTGGTGGTCTGGATTACACCTGGCTCTGAGTTCAGGGATTCTTCCTGCTGGTGCTCAGAGCCAGGGAGCTAACCAGGGTTGGCCTGCATGCCAGGGACCTGCCTCCCCCCTCTCCCACCACCCCGCCTTTCATCATCTCTCTGGCTCTCTGCTATGTCTTGAACGCAAAGCAAGAGTGAGTGGATCTGATTGCTTGCCAACAGTTTACTCTTGCGTTTTTTTTTTTTTTTGGTCTGCAGTGAAACCATGGCAACGGCTGGTTCCAAAATGCAGTTATGCAAGAGAGCAAGGGCTGGCGGGAGAGGAAATGGAGGGAAGGGGCACACCATCCTGTCCGCAGGGACCCAGCCCAGCAACCCACTCTGCCCCCGCCTGGGTTCACAGTAGCCCAGAGCTCCCAGACCAGGGGACACTGGGTCACTCCTGCAGATGCAAACCTCACGCGGGTTCAGCGACTCTCCTCTGTCCCACTCGGCAATCAGAATGCCAGCCGCTTGGAGCAAACACGGCACCTGCTTTCAACCCGACTTCGCTCATGAGCTCTTGGGCCCCGGGATTCCTCCAGGTAGCGACTGCCAACGCCCCGGCCCTCCCTCTCCAGGCCAGTGTCCAGTTTAGGAGGTGGCTTTTATTATGGAATGAGAAGAATGAGAGGAATGGTATAAAACCATAGGTGATAATAGAAGCTGCTTCCTTTCTTTTTCCTTGACCCTTCTCCTTCCCTCTCTCCTCCAGCCCTCCCTCCAAACAAAAATAGCTCCTTTAATTATTATTGTTATTATTAATTTATTTTTGGTTTGTTTCTTTGAAGGGGCCATACTCGGCTGTGCTCAGGGATTTTATTCCTGGCTCCGCGCTCAGGATCCTTCCTGGCGGGGCTCAGGGGACCATACCTGGTCCCAGGGAATCAAACCCAGGTTGCCCACGCCCTATGGGTACCATCACACTGACCCACGAAACCAGACTCCCGTAAAGGTGCCCGGCCTCCCCCAGGAGAGCCCCTTCTGATGCTGACAATCTCCCACATGAAAGGAGGCAACCCGGAAAATCTGACTTAGCCTCTAGGAGCAATAGCAAGTGAGAATCTCAGTCTTCAGAGGGGAGACTCTTTATTGCAGGGAACGTGAAAGGGACGAGTCCAAGTCGCTCCACATTCCATCTGGCCCGTGGTCAGTCACGCTTGTGGGCGGGATCAAGCTCCACCACTTGCTTTCTCTGCAAAGGCACTTGCTGAGTGCCCACTATGGAACAGACACGGAGAGCAAAGAACTCTCTCTCCAGGAGATTTGCAGGAAAAAAAGGCATGTTTTAAATTTCAAAGTGTATTACAAATGGGACTACGAGGAGCTTTCTCAAGCCTGAGTTCAAACACTGTCTAAAAAATAAGCAACGGTATAAAAAAAATACATGTTGCGACACATAAAAGGTATTTTAAGATGTAAGCAGAGCAAAAACTAAGCAGGGAGTTTTAAAGAAGCAGTCATCTAAATTTTGTTATTAAGACTATATATATATATATATAATATATGTATATATTTAGTTTAGGGACTCTACTCAATGGTGCTAAGAGGCTGCTCCTAGCTCTGTGCTCAGTGGTATACCCTCTGGCAGTGTTCAAGGGACCATATGTGGTGACTGGGATTCAAACCAGGGTCAGAGAGATGTAAAGGAAGCGTCACTGTCCCGTCTCTACAGCCCCAAGAAATATCTACCTTTAAATCAACCTTTTCTCTCCATTCATGAACAATACTAAGAACTGTCCATTTCAGTGAAGTATATGTACCCTAATTGTTTGCGGAGCCATCTGTCATTCTACCTGGACTTTAACGTGCGTCTTAGAATCTCTAAGAGCTCTCGAAAGTCCACCAGAGAGAAAGAGTTGTGAGTTAAGCTCCTGTCACCTCCTTGGCTCAGCCCCTCTGCACCAGCCTAGGGACACAGCTGGGGGTGGGCAGCCCAGGTCAAAGTGGGAGGCTGGAAGGGATGGTGCACTGGAAATACATTCAGCGGGTTACTGCCAATCTTCTCCATTCCATGGGTGTTTTTCAGAGACTCTTAAGATGAGTTATTGTATTTGGAAGGAAAAACTGTCTAAAATAATGCCACACTCAGAAATAAATTTGTCCCGCTGAACTGGGACTGGGGAAAGGCCATCACATTAATTTCTGGGAGAAACCTCCAACCAAACTCATAGGCAAGTTTCCTTCCAGAGTCCAGGGGTCATGGAAGCCCCATGGAAAGAAGCTGACCCTGCAATTACCTGGGACTTCAGGGAGGAGATGGTGTCCTCCAGCTCCTGTCTCAGGGAGGCCGGCATCAGCCCCTTGAACTTCGTTTCATACTCTTGTCGTATGTAGGTTATCTGAAGCAAAAGGAGAGAAAAGGAAAGCTTAACTTTTATTGTTTTTATTCTGGAAACAGTGATTTTTGAATGCAAGAACTTTCAGTAAAGTTTCTAGGCAGCACTAGGGCAAGGGGACCGAATTCCGTGTGGTCTGATACTCAGGAATAAAGATGAAGAAAGATGAAGAAAGGAAAACAAAAAGATGAAGGAAGAGGAAATGTGCTTTTTCCCCCCTCTTGCATAACAAATCAAACCTTTGTTTATATTATTATTTTTCTTTTTTAAATAATTTTTTTATTTTATAAAATAGTTCACATTATTTCTTTACATTTGATACTCAAACACCAATTCCACCACCATTATACCTTCCCACCATGGAAATGTGCTTATAAACCTACACAGACAGACAGACCCGAGAAGAAATGATTTCTTCCAAATGAGCACCGGAGCAGTCCTAGGCCCGCCCCTTCTCTCCTTGCCCGCATGTGCTCTGCTAACCCTCTGCCCTTGGACGGGCCGAGGGCCACCATGCAGCTCACGGCCATGCAACACCAGCGCTCTGAGGACAATTCATAGCAAGTCTCTGCGGGGGGTGATGGAAACACTGTGCCTCTGAGCTCCTGACAGGATCCAGACTGCTAATTCATGCCCTGTCTTCTGGCGTCTTCCAACCCTGGAACTGCATAAGAGTCCTTGTCCTCGAGTTTCCCTCTGCTTCCAGGATACAATCAGAGCCGACTCACAGAGGGTCAGGACGAGGCTGGCCGAGGGAAGGCCTGAGACTCAGTTCATTCAGCCTAGGAACATCTACAAGGGAGAGGTTTGTAGACTTCCAGGAAGGCGACAAGTTTTTTTGTAGATCTTGTAAAACTGACAAGGAATGTGGAGATCTTGTCGCATCTACGAGATGGACAGAATCACACGAGGAAGGCAGAGGCGTGTCCGTGGAGGAGGGTGCCCAGGCAGGAGGAAGGAATGTGACTGGGTCTGCCTTGGTGGCTGGTTGCAGCTGTGCCTGCATTCCTCTCCTGGCCGACAGGAATTCAAAAACCATTGCACGTGGGGCTGGAGCGATAGCACAGTGGGGAGGGCGTTTGCCTTGCACGCAGCGAACCTGGGTCCAATTCCCAGCATCCCATAGGGTCCCCCGAGCACCGCCAGGAGTAATTCCTGAGTGCAGGGCCAGGAGTAACCCCTGTGCATCGCCAATGTAAGCCAAAAAGAAAAAACAAAAACAAAAAAAAACCATTTCACACATCCTGTGTGATTGTTACGTCCGCCTTGCAGCCTATGCTATGAGTTATGGGCTGGCCATACCAGGAGCTGGACTCTGGAGGCATGTGCAAAGTGATGGTTCTGTCACAACTCTGGGTCCACTTCCTAGTGCTGTCTGTCGTTCTCCAAGGTTCTGGGGGAGTCTGGTGATCAGCTCATCTTTTTCCAGGTTTGTGTGGCTTTCTCTGCTTGAGTGTCCATGATGTTTTCTTTTTCCCGATTCTTAGCCTCACTAGGATATGCCGTATCTGTTATTCATCATTCTACATAACTTTCCTGAGATGTTGTGGATGCCCCGCCCCCCCTTTTTGATTCTTTGAAGAACATTTCTTCTGTCCAAAGGTTCATACGATTATTAGAGATGTTCATATTATATGCAACTATTTTGTTCTTTTCTTCAGGAACACAGACTCTATGTTGGTTCTGACAATTTTCTCAATTTGCCTATGTTGGTCCTATGGTTGTGGAGATTTTCCACATCACTATTATTACACATTTTTATTTCATTCTGATATCCTCTGGTCTGGTCACTCCATTTCCTTGGCTATTATTATTTTTCTGTTTTTGTTTCTTTGGATAGAATCTCCATCTCTGCAATCTTTTGGTCTGTCAGCCATGATTTCAAAACGCTAACAGATCATGTTTCAACTCTGTCTAATGTTCTATCATTGGTAAATACACAGTCCTTCTTTGTTCTTTTGGACTCCCCCCTGCCTTTTTCCTTGAAAGAAAGAATTATCAAAGAATTTGCAGATAATTAGGCCTTGTGGAGAACTGTTTGTCATCAAGAACTGAAGTTTGTCTGAACCTTCCCCTTATTTCTTGGGTAATTTCTGAATTAACAGGTGTTTTGTTTCCTTTTATATACATTCCTTCTTTCTCTCTTCATCAAGCAAGGATGTTCTCTTATTTAAAATTTTTTTTAACGTGGGGCTTGAGAGATAGAATGGTGGGTAGGGCACTTGCCTTGCACACAACTGACCTAGGTTCAACCTGGCACCCTTGTATATGGTCCCTTGAACCTTGTCAGGAAAGATCCCTGAGCACAGAACCCGAGTTAATCCCTGAGCACCAGGTTTGGCCTCAAAACAAGTTTTTTTTTTTTTTTAAATTTAATTTGGGGCTGGAGCCATAGCACAGCAGGTAGGGTGCTTGCCTTGCACGTGGCCGACCCAGGTTTGATTCTTCTGCCCCTCTCGGAGAACCTAGCAAACTATTGAGAGTATTTCTCCCACATGGCAGAGCCTGGCAAGCTCCTCCTGGCATATTCAATATGCCAAAAACGGTAACAACGAGTCTCACAATGGAGATGTTACTGGTGCCCACTCGAGCAATTTGATGAACAACGGGTAGACAGTGCTACAGTGCCTTTAATTTGATTTGATGGAACCAACACAATGAGTTGCTGAATATTGAGGTAGCTAGCGGGCCTGAGCAGAAAGTTGGAACTCTGATCACGCCAACTCCGAGAGCCCTTTGGTGAAGACTCGCTGTTTCTCTTGCTTGTCTGACTCCACTCTTCACACCTGCTGCCATCAGCTGCAGAAAACTGTGTGAGCAATTTGCTGGGTGATTGCCACTGACCCCTTCCTTCCATCATTTTTTAAATTCAGCAGGGGACATTTCCCAACTTTGAGGATCCAGGCAGGGTGCTCCCTGTCTCCTTCTTCTCCTTTGTTTTTATAGATGGGTGAATCTGAGTCAGGTGAAAAGGAGCTCTTGAAATTCTGAAACAACCTTGCCTAGGAATGAGAGACAATCAGGAATATATTACAATCCTGCACTTTGGAGCCCAAATCTTGAATCTGGGAAAACAAAATCCTCTTTAAAAAATCTGTTTTGGGGTCGCACTCAGCTGTGCTCAGGGTTTACTTCAGGCTCTGTGCTCAGGGATCACTCCTGGCAGGGTTGGGGCGACCCACCGTTCTCCTGGTTCTGAGAACGGAATCAGGGTTAGTGGTGTGCAAGGCAAGTACCTTCTCACTGTACCATCTCTCGGGCCTTCCTGTTACTGTAAAAAAAAGAAGCCGTGGAAAACTTGAACCAATCTCTTTTGCACTCCGTGTGAGGTCATGTTACTAGTTAACCTTAGTAGCTCTATTTAAATGTTCGCAAACATTTACCAAGCACTTTTCATGCACCAGGTAATATTCTACGTGTGTGTTAAATGTTTGATCCTTCTGACAACCTGTTGAGGTGAGCCCTGATTTGATCTCTAGCAAATTCTCAAGCACATGTTCTAGCCGCCCTGTTCTGCTGCCACTTGGATAATCGTTCCAAATGCAGAGCTGATTCCTCCCAGCAGGAGAATGATCTCACCGGAACCAACCAGTTGGAGCACGTACATGACCCTCGGGTGGGGAGGGGGAGATGGGTGGGGAAGGGGAAATGGGATGGACAGCTATGACTGATCTTTTAGAAATCCACCGAGTTATTGCTCTTTTGAAAAATCACCTCTTTTTGTTTGTGGGGAGGAGGCATGCTCAGCGGTGCTCCGGAGTTACTCTTGACTTTGTACTCAGAAATTACTCCTGGTGGTGCTCAGGGGACCATAGAGGATGCCAGGGATCGAATCCTGGCTGGCTGTGTGCAAGGCAAATGCCCTACCCGCTGTACTATTACTCCGGCCTAAAATCACCCATTTTAGCAATGCCATACTTAATTTCAGTGTGGTAGAGTTCTCCATACTTTCTCATAGGTTTACAGTTTAAATTTTATATTCGTTTATAAGACAAATTAAAGAATCAATGTAAAGGCAATGCATAGAATCATCTGAATGATGTTGACTAATAGCACATATAAGTACACAGTTTATTAAAATTAATTTTTTTTGCCATACCTTGTGGTGCTCAGGGTTTATTTCTGGCTCTATGCTCAGAGATCATTCCTGGTGAGCTTGGAGGTGTTGGCAATCAAACCCGGTTTGGCCGTGTGTAAAGCGAGTGCTCTACCCACTGCACCATCTCTCCAGTCCCTGAGTTAGCATTTTGTAATGACAATACTCAACGTGCAATGGAGAAGCAGCAGTGTGTGTTTTTGAGTGGATTCTTTATTGGGTTCCTGAAAATGGTTGGGGCGCACAGGGATTTCCCCCAGACTCCTGCTGGTGGCTGGGCTCACAGAGAGGAAACCGTTCTACATGCTGAGTGATTTAAGGGAAGGGTATCAGTCCAAAACTCTCCAGCTGGGTATCAAGAGGTAGTACAGTGGGAGAAAGTACTTGCCTCATATGCAAGGTAATGGGGTTCGGTTCCTGGTACCCCATATGGTCCGCTGAGACCCACTAGGAGTGATCCCTGAGCATAGAGCCAGGAAAAAGCCTGAGCACAGCCGGATGTAGCCCAAACAAACACAGCCCCCCTCCCCCAACCCCTGACTATCCATCTGAACTTCCACTGACTGGAAGTATAGGGGTAGGTTAGGGAAGATGTGAGACTGGTTCTAATCTGGCTGGATTCTTTTCTTTTTTATTTATTGAAGCACTGTGAGATACAGTTACAAACTTTCATGATTATGTTTCAGTAATACAATGATAGAGCACCCATCCCTCCACCAGTGCCCATTCTCCACCACCATTATTCCTGGTATCCCTCCCGCAACCCCCGCCCCATCCAACCCCCTGCCTCTGTGGTAGGTACAATTCTTATTACTCTCTCTCTGTACTTTTGAACATCATGGTTTCTGATACAGATGCTGAGAGGCCATCATGGAGAGGCCATCATGTTTGGTCCTTAGTTTACTTT